TTTCTCTGATAAGTGCACACACTCACAATGATGACATTACATGAATGACTAAAATCAAGGTTTCTGCAGTATACGCCCATCTTTGTCAAGGGGCAAAGCCCAAGATGTCTTTGGGATCACTACTCGTCACCTATGTAGATGACTGGATTACAACTGCTGTACATTACAGAGCTGACATTAACGGCCATAACCCATAAAAACCGGTGTCGTATGCTTGTCGGGCTCTTAATGTTATGGGTGAACTTGCCTGCTGTTGACACAATTCACTCAAACCAACAAGTTAAGAGTCACTAGATACAGACAAAGGATGTCTCAAAGCTTAATGACAGTCCTGCATTACACTCTGCACTATCTGAGATTGTCTCACTAGTTTACTTTGGAAAGGTCTAGCATCTAACTCTTAATCTTAAGTGTAAAAAGCCGAGTATTATTCTCACATATTCTTGACACAGACACTTTGGCCTCTGTGAAAATTTTCGTAGTGAACTGGCATTTTAGTAAGAAAACTTTATTTAAACTGGGTAGTCCATTCAGCTCTAAGGCTGGTCTCCATAGGGGCCCTGTATCTAAAACTCATATAGGCTAAAAGCCTAAAGTACAATAACTGATAAAATTAAGAAATATTTATAAATTCAGGAAATTTGTGATGATTGAAACAGGAAAATGGACAATTCCTCCAAATTAACTTGAGTCCGTAGTAACAACTGAACAGCTGAATGTGATTACGTACGTTGATATACATATTTATAACATGCCATGAAAAGTACAGCCAATCAGAATACAGGAAAGCCGTTAAATATTACACCCAATCTGCCCATCATGCGCTGCGCGTATGTCGCATTGATTGTGTTAGCCAATGCATTTTCTATGGCATGCTATAAAACAGTTATGTAACGCTCTCTCGTGGGCTACCATGGAATATCCCACTTTTTCGCTTATGTTTACCTGGTATACACACTCGCCTGAAGGCTTGTGTATGTTCCGAGAAAATACAAGTGATTCGTGGGATGTTCCATGGTAGACAATTCGAAAGCTTTGCATAACTATTATATTATATATTTTTGCTTTGGCTGCGGTTAATATCACTTTCCGAGATCTTGATCATTCTGGATATCATAAATGATGGTAATTGAACTGAGTGGAGTGCAATTTGGTCTGAAATCATACGCGCGATTTCAAAATCAATGGCTTTTTGCCTTTCATTTTCTTGAAATTTAATTGATTACTTTAAACAGATCTTGAAATCTGATTGGTAGTTTTGCTTTACTGTCCCATTCTCATTGGCTGAGAAAAAGATACGATTTAGAACAAAAAATAGTGCGATTTGTGAATAAATTGAACCACTGAGAGCCAATCAGATTGCAAGGATAACCAGTGATTTCAAAATGGATTTGATTTTAAAAAAAAGACTAGAGGTCATTTCTCATTAAGAGAATACCGCAGAACACTGGCTTCCCGGTCACCTTGTCCCCTTGCCCATTTTCCTCGTTTAATATTGGTACTGATATCCGGTCAATATTTATTGACCGATATACCGATTATCGGTTGATAGTAGATCGATAGTCCATTGTTAATCGGTCGACACATCAAAAAACCGAGATATCGATTCTCGAATGACTTGCGCCCGACTATTAACCTATTGTCGACCAATCGTCCACCGACTGCCGACCGACCATTTACTGACTATGAACTAACGACAGACTATTGGTCAATATACTGACGGCCGATATATCGGACGACACTACTAAACGGGACCCAAATTCAAGTTTATGTATGAAAGATCGTATATTTGAACTGCGGAGAAGGATATAAAGACATGATTTATCATCACAGTTATTATACACGGCTTAAGTAACTGTGAAAAAGTTGTGTATATAGCTGCGATGATCAATTGAAATTATCGAATATCGTTATATAATAATTACTCGCGTATCTTTCAAAATAAAGCTTTGTCACCTTCAGTCAGTTAAAAAGACTAAATGGTCTGCATATAATTAATGACTATAATTACACTGCTAACAACTGCATATTTAACTCGCTGCTAGGGGTAGTTATATAATTGTTACCTGCAATATTTTCTCGAACATTTTGTTTTCGCTGTACATGCTTTTTTTTGTATTCGTTCTTGATGTATGGCATCTTAAAGCTAAAGAAATGACCAAAAAAGGCTTAAGACGAATGACATTAAAGAGTAGTTATATAGGATATCACTTATACTAGACGCTTCCAATGAAATCGAGGTTAAGATATTGTCAAGCCGGTGTGTCTGTCGCAGGAGAGCCATGACGTAATTGAACCATAACACTGTCGAACAAAGGCCTGGTCGAGATTGATTTTACACTCGAACGAACAATGTGAATGAACTTTCCCACATGTCTCGTGAGGTGAATTCATTAAAACCACAGTGGTTTTGAGAAGAAAACACATTTAAAAGCAGTTAGTTTGTCCGGGTGGCGTCAACGTTCACTGTGTAAAACAGCAGCAGAAATAAGGGTAGGTGGACTAATTTGACGTCTCGTGATTCAGTGACTGACTAAATCAACTCGTTTATTGACTGATATGACTATCTGTTTTCTTATGCATGAATACTGATTATTTTCCACCATTCGTTAATCACCCATGCAGGCAAATACAGAAAGTTAAGCCATGGCTTGACTAGCATTTTGATCGGTAATTGTGAAGGATAAACGACTTTAACTCCAAGTATTTGGTAACTGTCAGGAATTTAAGTAAGAATCGGATCCTAAACGATGAAATGTGTTGATTCGGTACGAAGTTGAATTGACGAATTTGACCGTTTGGTCGGGTGTAAGTTTCGAAAATGCTGCAAAACTGAAACATTTTTCTTGTTAGGAAGCAGGAGCCTGGGCAATTATGATGTTGTGTTTTTTATTTGCTTAGAGAAATTCTTGGTGTCTGTTTCCTTTTCCCAGCGATTACTTTAGTTCAGTTCCACTCGATTAAAGATCGACGGAAACCCGTATTTTTTCTCTGAATTTTTAACATTTACAAATTTGAGCAACAACCACATTATTTTCAAGCTGAAAACTAAAAATAAGTTGGATTAACGACGAATTGTCTATTGTCCATACCTTAATGGAAATCGAAGCCATTGTGCGATGCGTGTTTACAGAATAACGAACGACACTAAAACATTCAAGTGACGTTTTGTAACTGCTAGAAAATCGACCAATGCAAATTAAATGCAAAACAATCCCTACAACTTTACAAAAGTGCCATGTGCTTTGAAAGGACGTAATGTTGGTCTAACTGTGCAAATATGAATTTTCTTTTGTTCGTGTGCGAAGGTTTTATGTGCAATAAATCAATTTGGTCTCAATAAAAAGAACATCTAAGGCAACCAGGTGAGAAAGCGCTTTTTTCTCCAAGATCAAGTGATGTAGCTCAAAATTGAATCTCTCGTTTTACGCGTATAACAATCTTAGGTCGAACTGCACTCATAACAAAGGGTTCTATAATAAAATGCATTCTCTGAATCTCTGTTGAACTGCACATCTTTGAATTTAATAGGCGATAATTGAATAAACATGCGAGAAAAAGCTGTCGACCCAAATTTGAAGGAAACTTAAAAATATATAACGGCTACTTTATCAACAAGGTAGAGAGTAATATCATCAAGCTTTGTTTTCATTCAAGTTCATATTGTTTGGGGTGGCCAAATGATGTACAAGCTTTGTAGTTTCTTCTCGGTCTTCTCTCAACTTTCCGGCATAATTTTCTGCAAGTTATATTTAGTTTTAGCTCTATTGTTTTTGTGTACCAGTTTTCGTAACTCGAGTCAGTCACTAAAACTCCAGAGCAGCTAATGAGGACCACGGTTGGCATATATGACGTAAAAACAAACGAAGTCTGACCTCGACGATCTCTGATAAGGGAAACGAGATTAACAACGCTTCTGTAATTTTATCCAAAATCACTCGCACCTTATCAGTCCCAATATTTACAGTTTTTTGTTCATAAATCACTAAGATTTTTGCCAGAGAACCCGATGTGTTGTAAATTTGCCCCAACGCCAAAAAAAGTTAATGTATTAATCTCGAGGAGTGTATTCATAACTTGCTAGAGTATGACGATCACGTGGTTATTCTTACAAAACAAAACTGAATCCTGAAACACACGAATCAGGCAGCAAAAGTCTGAACACAAATAATCCCCCAAAAAGTGAGCAAATTTGATCGAATAAAACGAGTTTCACGTGAAGTAATTAGTCTGCAATAGCTCTAGATAAGAGCACCACAACCCAACGAAATTGTAATAACAGACACTATCGTAGGGCATGTTGAAATTATCATACTGTGTTCGGATAGTAATCATGAATGCCAGAGAGGGTGAAATCGTTCCGGTTATTAAAGACAATAATATTAGTTTCAAGTAAAACAAAGCAGCTAGCTGCAATGCGATGACAACTTGTAATGATAGCCTTGACATCGATTTAATGAATTAAAGCATAATTTTCACTAGACAAATACAACTTACATTTTTCTTAATTAATTTTTCTTAGTTCTCTCATTGGTGTGTTTGAGTCTCGCGTCAGTCAGGTTTCGCGTTGGTTTTTTTTTCCTAGCGATGGTTTTCGCCCGAGCGAGTTACCAGTTAAAAAGGCTTCACTGAAAGACTGTCGTAAGTATCATGTAAATACATGTATGGACTATACTTGAAGCGAGAGGAAACTTGTACACCGAAGTTAGTTACGTAGCCTGGCTATTAATTCTCCCCTCTATCATGTTGAATTCTCCATTGCTACTGGACTGGATCAATCCATTCAAAGATGTCGACTGAAACTGCCTGATTTGAAATTTTGCAGGTGCACAATCACATCTGTTTTGCCATTCAAGTTTGAAAAGAAATCAGTAAGATATTTTTTAGCCTTGTTGAGCAAAATTTGTTAAAATCAACATCGGCTCTAAGAGGAGCGGTTAACGTTTCAAGATTTTTAATCAATACAATATATTCAATTCTTCTTTTTCAACTGTACTTTTAGACTCAGGAAAACCAAAGAAAAGCGTCTATGAAAGTTTTCTATTTATTATTGCTTTGTATAAGAAAAATCACATAATGGGCAATTTCTTTTATTTTTTTGTTGTGTCAACTAACACGACGAAAAGAAAACATAAGCCATGACATTTTGGAATAACCTATACCTGGCTAGCAAACATCTAAAGAATTTTTTTATTAACTGATTATTAGCCATTTTTATTAACGACCAATTGCCTGTTGTGATGTTTACATACTCGAATTAAGCTGCATACAATCGCAGCTGACAAAATTTTGATAAAATTAATTATTCAGCTTTAACTTGTTTTATGGTACAGCTTACAATTTTGTCTCACAATGCAATGTGCGTTTTCACAAAATTATTTCGAGATTTGCACATTTTCTTTGTTATTCGTAAACATTTGTTTAACTTGCAATAGTAAACTAAGTTTGCTATTGTAAACCCTTGGCGCGAAAACATGTTGGGATACCTGTACTTGGACATTATCTGTCATTGCCTGTTAGTAACCGAAAAAGTGGTAGTTCTTATTGTACAAAACATCGCATTACTATCCGCTGAAGGAGCTACGTCAAAGTTTGCGCATCTTGAAAAGTTTGGCCAAATTTTTTCAAGCTCGTCGTTCGCAATCCGTTTTAATCTTTTGCATCCTTAACCATCCTTGTTGCTTTATTGTTTATTATTATCTCTTTGGTGTTTCTCTATCTTAGCAAACTATTATTTTCAGGTTTCCTTTAATTTAAAGGTAATTTTGTACATGGCCAAAATTAATTAAAATACCGTGGCTGAACTCCTATTACCCGTTTCATAACACCTTACCTGGAACAGAAGAGCAGCTTTAGCTACAGTGACCAATTAATTTCCTCTTCGTATTAACATCTTCTCGAGTTTCTCTTCGCTCGTTTTGACCTACTGGATTATGACGCGATGCAAAAACTAAATGCGCAACTACCGTTTCATACCACCGTCACACAATTAAAGCAAAGGAAACAACACGCGATCAAAAAAACCTTGTGTTATTCAAATGAGTTTGTTAAGTCACAATAGGGAATTAAAGCAATGACGACGGAGACGCCAGTGGCAGTGCGTAGTAAAAAAAGAGTTTAGATTCTACCTTCGAATCACGTTGTTGTTTTGCAGAAGACGCGGCTAATAATTAGCGAAATCCGTGGAAAAACGGATGAATCCGTCGTTTTCAGAAAACTACATAATGACAAAACAAAAACTACATTATGTGAAGTTTATATGAAATAATTCATATATGAACTGCGGTTGTAGATGAGAGTGAAGAATGATCATCGCAGATAATTTTCCAATTTAAGCAATTGGAAAGAAGAAGCCTGAAAAAATCAGGGCTTCAACGGGATTCGAACCCGTGACCTCCGCGATACCGGTGCGATGCTC